CTGCAAGCAGGGAACAGATACATTAACACTACATGCTACAGGCGATGCCCACAACTGTTGTAGCATCTTGAGTTTAAGCCATAACTTGCTTACACTAGATTCGGGACGCAAGCACAGCGCTGAATCAACACCCTTTGTGTAAACGGTATATTCTAATTTCACAGCACTCGCCATCAATAGTACGACCACACTCCGCCTATTAAATATGGTTGTAAGCAAATTTCACCCCTTTGAGGGTTCTCATGCCATAGCCAGTACGCATACCATTTGGAACGAATAAGCGTAGACAAGATGGCACTATTTGCGGAGACACCACACACGCACTGGAAAGCGGTCAATCAATTGGTAAAAGTCAACTGACATACAGAGATGTTAACTAGCCAGGAACGAACACACACACCGACACCAAATGCAGATATCACAGGACAACACATTGAACAGCGGCCATACATGGTATATAACTACTCAGTACGTAGGACGTACGCACTACAGAGCGAGTCTTGCTTACCCGGATTTACGCACGCGACAGAGGAAAAAGAAACAACTGCGAGAAAAGACGAGCTACTGGATAGGTACACGCCACCAAGAGCAGCAACACTGCCAACAATACACGCCAACAGGTAGATATGAAATGGTGCACAGGTACACCCAAGTGCAGCAACAGCCAACAATACACACCAACCGGTAGATATGAAATGATACACAGGTACACCCAAGTGCAGCAACAGCCAACAATACACACCAACCGGTAAATGAGGAATAAAACACACGTGTACCCAAGAGCAGCAACACTGCGAACAATACACACGAACACGTAGAAATGAAATGATACACAGGTGCAGCTTTAACCGTACGGTCGGGTGATGTTCACATTACACATACACACTCACCTGATTAGTCAATGAGGACGATCCGAGAGCCTACAAAGCACAGATGGAAAGTAAGAAGAATGAATGTAACAATGAATGAGGAAGCAAAATGTTAACGTATTGGAAATCTAAGTTCATGAGAAGCGAAAGTATAGCACCCGACACTGAAACGTGAGTTCGAGGCATAACTACAATGTCAGAGCAATGCATATGGAAACTCAGCCGCTGAGGAATACTGAACTATACGAATTTACTAGCGCAGAGAGTGTGTGCACTACGACTTATCACAGGCTCAGAGGGAAGGTATTCACTACCATTAAGACTCTAACAGACACACGCCGCGTATATATAACAAAAAAACTACAGATACAAGAAAGTAAACACGAAAGGAGCATACAAGCACAGAAAGCGCGTACACATTAAGATCTCAAGTCGCAGAGGATGTGTACTCGATGAATCCCTATGAGAGTGTAAGCAATAGTCATCTACCGACACAGGAAGAGTGTACACAACACAAAATTATAGGCGCAGCGGGAGTGCACCCAAAGAATCCTTATGAGAGTATACACAATTAACATCTACAAACACAGCAGAGCGTACAATACACACTTACAGGCACAGACGGAGTGTGCACAAGAAATCCTTATGAGAGTGTACGCAATTAACGCCTACAGACACAGCAGAGCGTACAATACACAAACTTACAGGCACAGACGGAGCGTAACCCAGTGTGTTCCCAACCGGCCGCCGGTTATCTGAGCTCTGCATTTCTGAGGTGGATTCAGTGTCGCTGTACGTACGAGCAAAGAGGTCAGATATATATAGTGCTTCTGTGAGCCACTCAATAACTACAGGTCTTGCATTGCAAACCGATGTGTCTTGCCGAGGAAAGGCTATCACTGTCTGGAAAGAAATTCAGACCACCAGCGCACAGATCTCTGGAACAAACAACACCAGCGCATTCCACGCGCATGAGAAGTGCTCATATGTGTCTGTAGAAAGGAACCACAACACAACGTGCTCTGGCTTTCGTATGTGACTGCTAGCCATTCCTATTTACCCACCTGTAGCGACATTCCTCATGCACACTTCAACACTCACTATCGCATATTGTTGCAGTTAGTCGCACACAGTTGCAAAATAGTCCCAACACCCACACATACCTACAATCACACAACTCCCACCAAACTCTCTACCGTGTACAGTCACAGCTAGTCGCACACAGTTGCAAAATAGTCCCAACACTCACACATACCTACAATCACACAACTCCCACCAAACTCTCTACCGTGTACAGTCACAGCTAGTCGCACCCAGTAGCAGGATGTATAAGTCAATCCCACAACACCCACTGCATGCACCCCACAACACCCACTGCACCCACCCCACAACAACCATTGGACACATACCCGCCCCGTGACAGTCGCGAGCTCCCATTGACAACACGCGAGGTGGCCATGGCCGTGTTCTGATGCGTATTGTTCTTGAGGTCAACCGGTAGAGACATTTTACGCGCAAGTGTCTTGTTTGGCCGGAACTGCTTGACTGTGTTGCGCACAATGTATTCGTGCAGCACCAGTTCATTCACCGTGGCGCGTTCAGCCGGATCTCTGCAGGACGGTTGGAGATGTGTGTATTAATGGTACGCGGCCGATGAATGAGAGTAGTTTAGTGCTGTGGGTTGGTACTTAGTAGTTTCAACTAGTGATTGATAAGTAGTACAATGTATTTAGAAATTGATAGGTTTTGGGTCGGTCGATGGGGTTTTTAAGACGAGTAAATACGAATTCAAAAAAGATAGAATGAGTGTGCTGCACCTATTAAGAGGTTTCTGCACATGGGACATACAATGCCAGTACATAAATGTATATAAATGTATTGTATATA